ATTCCTGCTATTCAGCTGAGCATTATACAGCAGTTCAGTTCTGGTCTTGAACTGCAACAAAAAGATTTTCTCCATTTTTTGCAAGAAGCATTTTTTCACGACATAGCCAAGCAACAATCTAATATGCTCCACTCCTTAAAACCAACATACAAGAAGACATACAGCCGACATACATTCAAACAAAATTGCCTTAGGATTTAAATGCACCCCTGATCAGGAATCAAAGATCAGCAGTTCAGACAGCCCTAACTCAGTTTGTCCCCTAGAGCTCCAAACACTTTAACAGATAATACAGTCTTCCTACCTACAGGTCAAAATACCTCCTACTGCTATGTATGTATTTTTGTTTTCAAGGAATAACAGTGCCAGCTCTTATGCTAGTTGTTGGTTATTTTTTTACATACCAAACAACAAAATCACTATGATCTCTTCAACTTCAGTAATATTCTTTTTCAAAAACTTTTCAAAGAAATCGCACCAACCAGGTTATAAATTAAAAAAAATTGTTTCAACTAATTCATTTTAAAAAGAAATAGACAGCTCAAGCCCCCTGTATCCTTAAATCAGAATTAGGATACATTACAACCCTCCAGTCCCAGAAGGATCACCTCCGTCTCCATTAACTTCTTCTTTTGAAAGATAGGGATTTATCAACTGTAACAATAACCCACGTGTTAAAATAAAGAAAATGCTTTAGTACAAATCGGTTGCTTTTCCCTCAAAATTTCTGCCTTTTTTTTTTGCAGTTTCTAACTTTGGCAATCCCTGGCTGTCTCAGGTTTTCTCAGCACCAACTGTTCTTTAGAATTCAATATGACTACTGATTTCACAGAGGTCAGATTAAGGCTGTGAAGAAAATGAGGGAGAATTTCCTTGTTTTAGCAATAACATTAAAGGATGAGTTCTCAAGTTGGTCACTTCAGAATTAATTAAAATACAGAAGAAACTACCAGGGAAAGATTTATATTCAAAGTAGATTATGGCTAACACTAAAATGTTTACAAAATCAATGGCAACCTAGCACAAAACAGATATAGCTCAGGGAAATTCATATTGATTAGATTCCCATGCAGTCCAAAATATAGTTCCCTTTCCATGTTCCTCATTAGTTCGTTTCAAGATTTATGTGAATTACAAAATAGATGTAACAGAGCTCCAGTTATTTATACTGTGTTAAGTAAGAAAAAAAGATTTCTACTCACCTAAAACAGAAATTCATTTGTTTCCAAATGTTTAATGAGAGAGGATGGTTCCTGTCCGCCTCCGCATTCATCATCTGTTGCACATTAATGAATATCCAATAATGCCAATACTAACCAAAAAACATCTGACATTACCACTCAGACTGAGTTGCCACTTTCCCCATGTACCCACAACAAAAGACCCGGAACTCTTGGCAACCAAAACAGTGTGTGATAAGCTGTATGTCTTCCTAACACCCAGGGTCTTGCAGCCTTTTGTGTAGGACAGCGCCAGCAGGAAAACCGGCAAGGTGCTAACTCCTAACAGGTATGGTGATGCACTGCAGCTGCTGTGTTGTCAAGCATCAGCTGCCCTGCCAGCCACAATGGTGGGTCATGTTTTAGCCAAATTTGATATTATTGTTTATATAGAAAAACTGGTAGATGAAAAGCACACACAGTGGCAGTGCCAGGCTCTGAATTGATTCTTGTGGGAAAGACAGACTGGAAATTGTGCCTTATGTTCTTTCACAAACTGAATGTGCTTCAGATTGCTGCTGACCTTTCCACAGTAGCACTGATTTGGCCAGCAAGACTGAAAGCCAAAAAGTAAATAAAGTCACCTAAGGGGTAACAGGTTAAAGCAAGCTCCAGAACAGAGAAGGCCTGACCTTCAAAGGTTCATGTCGCTTGTGCCCAAGTACAAAGAGGAAACTTTTCATTACCAATACAGTGTTTCCTGAACAGACATTCTCATTCTAGTGAAACAGCACTCAAATGAAAAATTGTTCACATCCATGAACCTGGTATCTTGGAGCCCAGTGTCTTAAAAGTCTGAATCAGCCCAATTGCTGGTGACACAGATTCTAATACCTAGCAATAATCTTGATATTCTCATACAATATTCCCCAACTTTCCACTTGTCAGTTAGTTACAATACACATCCATGAACGTAACTCACACTGGAAACAATGGAAAACAATGCCCATATTCTAGGGGTGAGGAAGAGCTCCATGGAGAGAAAATCATCAGGGTCATTCCTAGTCATGGAAACAGGAATGCATCAACAACAACTTGAGGCTGCCAGGGTATCCCACGTAAGCCAACTAACAGCACAGGCACGACATCGCAAGGCACGGAATCAACTCCTCACAAAACTGAGTTTTACTGCCTTCCGGATGGGGACTGGAAATCCAGGGAACAAAGACCTCAGTGATCTGCTCCTGAGGAAATAGAAAAGGTGGGAATAGTAACAGCTACTTCATGAACACCCACCACGATGGTAGGCCCTACTTCATAATCTCTGCCCAGGGCAGCAGCAGCAGGAGCAGCACTAGGTCCTGCACCTCCAGCCCCAAGACACGGACGGCAGACGGGAAGTGCATGGCCAGCCTGCCACCACTGAGCTCTGCTGCCCTGGGGAGCTGCCTGCTTTGCCTATGCCCACAGACAGCCCTCAGGCAACCTGTAATTTTTCAGTGCAAACTCTTTGCAAATTAGATCTTCTCTCTTTTTGCAAAACACAGTATGTCTCTGAGCTAACACTCACTCACATGTGTCTTAAGATGTTACTGTGTATTCATATCATCTCAGCACTAATAGCTACCAATATGTACAGATGCATTCTCTGAAGAAAAGCTTGAAGGGAAAAAAATGAGTCATTAGAACTGGGGAAACAAAAAAATGAAAATGAAGAAGAGAGGCAAACAATCCTAAGGAAGATGAGAGATAAAAAAAGGAGCCTGCAAAGCCAATTTCATCCTAACCACCTTCAAGCACTTTCTTAATTCTGTAGGCAGAGATAAAATAATTTTCTACTACTGAAACACAGTGATCCCTACAGGAACAACTGGTATGAGGCATATAAAGCTTCAGTGAGGGAGTTCAGGCCAACATAAAAACACAGCAACAGAACCAATACAAAAAATTTGGTTAACGAAATTAAATTGGTCAGAAACTATCAATAGCAACAAAGAAAAGGGAGACATCTGTGTTTAGAAATGAAAGGAGGAAATGGAAAGAAAGTGCTAAGAGGAGACAGCGAGAAAAACTTCTAGAACACTCAAAGGGTATTTTGAAATTTCCCCTTTAAATATGAAGAACAGATACACTAATTGGAAAAATGGCAAGGTATCATTTTGGAAAAAATTTTAATACTAAAAATATTTGAAGAGTCAGCAAATTAATAGGAAACTAACATCAATGTAGGAGTTGTCTTTGTAGGTGCTGTACATACTTTTGTACTGATTTCAGTGACTTGACTCAAAGTCTCTTTCTAACTTTTTAAAACTCTTCACCTCAGCCTCTAAAGTGGTCCAGGTACAAAGAAGCAGGTTATTAACTAGTAGTATGTGTCTTATGTAGTATGCACTTTTGGCGAGATTTTTCAGAGGCAGCCACCTACCTAAATACTTGATCCATCTGTCAAAAATCTTACATTTAAGCGGAACCCTCCTTCTAAAAATTAAATATGTACACAAATATTTTACACAATGCCTTTCCTCAGGTGTCAATAACATTTACTAAATACAAAAACAGACTTAAAAAAAAAACCAACAACTTATTTCTTACTTTATAAGCAGTTTTCTTACTCTTCGACGCTTACTTGAGTCTATTTTGTGGTATTATTGCGCTGTCCCTTATCAATTACCTTCATCCAGTAAACCTCAAGACAACAAAGGATTTTGTTAATGCCATTATCCCAGTTTCCAGACAGCAAACAAAAACAGAGAAGCCTGCCAGATAAACTCCAGGAAACAGCCAGGCCCTAAATCCGTGAAGGCCCAGGTAAAGCCTCCTTTTCTTGCTAGGAGAGTGCTAGTGGAAAAAAGTCTTATTTTTACTGTTAGCTCAAATATATCTCCTCATGCAACAAAATAACAAAATAATATGCTGCTCTTTTTCTTAATTAAATTTATAACCGTGCTTCCATAAATGAATTGCATTGAAAACACTGGGAATTGATTTATTATTTGAAAATAAAACAATACAAA